AAGAGCCCTGTTTAAACATCATCTGTCTGGGAACAGCGGGAGGTGAATATATGATCATGTACTTAGACTGTATTAAAAACTATACACACAAAAGAAATGAATGCAAGCTAATTAATTCAGCCATTACCTGACTTTTGAGCACTTGCCTTTTCAACCTCCACATTAGTGAAGAGGCAGACATAATTTCCTTTGAAAGAAAGAATTCCCTCATGTGAAGCCATTATGGCTTCCAATGTGGGACATCATTTTTTAAATCTATAGCACAGATATCTACATTTGTTAAGGGTAGCTGTACTAAGCTGGTATCCCCTATAGGGCTCTGATGCTAATGGAGGACAAGGAAGAATAGTGTGGGTAGCAAAATTTGGGGTTTGGGGAGGTGAAGGTTCTTAAAGGAAAATGTTGATTCATATTTGTGAGAGAGAATGAGAGCAAATAAATGCCCTTTGCACTTGGAGCCAGAGACCTGTGTGTTTCTGATTTTAAAGGCCCGCTTCCAACCTGCACCTGATATTATACAACTGGACCCAAACCCGCAACCCACGTTAGCAAGTCTTCTTACCCACATACCAACCTGGCCTGCTTTAGGTAAACCCGTGACCCGACCCGTGCTGCTGACAAACATGGAAGAAAAAAAAACAACCACAAAAAAGACCCCTGCACTTTCCCAGAAGCAGCAGCATGTTAGTTCAGCCTGGCTCTACAGTCTCTGTATAGATGGGATGTTTTAGTGGGGCTTTTGGGCACTTTTATCTAAAGCTGATTCAATCAGCTACTAGATAAAAGTGACAAAAAACCCCACTAAAGCGCCTGATCTATACAGACATTAGGCAAGCCAGCTCAAACTAACACACTGCCTCTTCTGGGCATGTGCTGGGCAGCTGCTGACAGATGTGGGGGGAAAAAACATGCTTTACTAAAAGAAGCAGCGCCTTAGCGTTCAAAAAGTTCTTCAAAGGAGATCAAACAAAAGATGGATCAGGGAGTGACACACCCTGATCCATCTTTTGTTTGATCTCCTTCACAGCCATTCTTCCTTCTTTGTTTGATCTCATTCACACTGCTTCTTCCAGTAAAGCACGTTTTTTTTCATGTCTGTCAGCAGCCAGTGGTGAGGCTTACCCAACCCAAGTCTAACCTGAAAAAAATTTTCAGACCCGCACCTGAACTGCAAAATGTGAAGTAGTTCACATTCCTACCTGAATCCAACCTGCTTTGCGGATTACCCATGGGTACCCGACCCCATGCAGGACTCTACTTGGAGCTAAACAAATGAAGTTTGTGATGGTTTCGGGAGAGACTGTTTCACATCCTAAAATCAGCCACCACCAAATTTCTGTCTCCCTCACAGATGAGCTTTACCATTATTTTGGAGAATTCCACTGTGCCAGAGGAACATAGCTGTTGTTCGCAGTCTTGATCCTAGAGTTTGACGTGGTCTTTTAGATATCCTGGACCAGAGATCTCCTTGAAGATAAGGAGTGAGACCTTGAACTTGAAATACCTAAGGGGCTAAAGCAGGTTAAAGTTATAAGCAACTAAAATTGGGTCTTTATAATGAAAAAAGTTTAGGGTTAATATTTAGACAAATTGCTCAAAAGTCTATCAACAATAAACCTGAAGAAAAAAACATTGGATCCAGTAAATATAGAAAATTAGAATGGTAATGAATGTTTAGTAATCTTCTTTTTCCCAAACAGTACACCTGTGCACACATACTCCACATACAAGTTAGATTTTATTAAGATCATGTGTGACGTGAATTGTTGATCTCTGCAGTTCCTGTTGGATGAGTGAACATCCCTAAAAACTACAAATGTCCAGGACTAACTGCATGTACAAAAATGAATTACCATTACTGCTTGCGTTGCAACATACAGTCCCCAGAGCTATCAATTCTGTGTCCTCCACAAGCACTGAATTCATTTAAACGTTTAAAAGATGAAAAATTGTTTTTCAAAAATGAAGACCTTTACAATCTACTAAAGCTTGTTTTCTCCTGAGAAAGTTTCTACTTAATAATATATATCTTTGTAGAGGGTCATCAATTATGTATAATATGCCTCAGCCTCTTTGAATTACTTTATTTAAAATATGATGGCCATTAGTGTGTAAGACTGATGAGCAGATATAAATATTAAATACAGGTAAATGTTACAGTGCAATAAAGACAGTCTTGGAGCTGCTGAGTACTAGGATCTCTTGCTTAAGGGCACAATTCTCTCATTCTGCTGTGAACACCATACCATCTTGCTGCCTTCGTTTTCCAGGAAAAATATATTCAAACTGATGAAAAGGCTAATTTTCTCAAAGAATGGATATGAACTTCATAGGAATTTGTATAGTTAAGAAAATTGCAAGCATAAATCTTTCAGAAAACCTTCAATGAAAATTGCACCTTAAGCATATACACGCTATTGCTTTCAGCAGATTGTCTCCAGTGATGTCTTTTTGAAAAAATACAAATAGCTAAAGAAAAATCTTGGTCTCGTGGCAGAATAAAAGTTGTGTTGCTTCATCTCTCTTTTTTTTATGTGAACATAGGTGGTAAAAAATGTGGTTTTCATGGTAAAAATTAGTGATTTTTTTCCACTTGTGAGCAAAATTCTGCTATGAACACTTGGTCCATTACCAGCAAGAACTTCATAACCCTAAAAAGGCAGTTTTTAACCATGAATTATTTATACTCTTAGTTGAAAGGATTAGGGGGGGGGGAATCAGAGTAATGTTATTGTTTTGTTTATATTTAATGGCACCTAATTGTGTTTTGATGCTTAACACTTACTGTGTTAAGCATCAACACATAGGAGTCTCCATGTCCCAAGGAGCTGAAAATCTAGGTGTATTATATGACGCAACCGCTGAATCAAATAAATGAGCAGGATAAAAAGGGAAAGGAGAGTAGCTACAGTGCAAGCAATAGAAGAAGCTCACGGGGCACAGACAGAAGTGACAATTTCAGCCCAATCTGGCCACAGAAAGCAGTTTAAAGCTGTGACCAAACACATGCCTGGCGTAACTACCTACCTAGCCACTGAGAGCTGGTTCTGCTGTTTAGAAGCTTTTCCCACTCACAGAGTGGTAGCATAAGAGCTGGCTCAGAGGTGTTGAGAGAAACAGTGGCAGAAGACAATGCATAAGTTTTAAACCATCTCTCCTAAGTGACTGCAAATTCACAATGCTCTATTTATATCCAAGCTTGTATACTAAATGTAATAAGTCTTGTTCTTTTATTTTTGCTTTCCATTTGAGGATTGGGGCAAGTGCCCATGAAAGGTAGGTGAGCTTTGTTCAGTACCACATTAAATTGCTCATTATGTGAGAACATTGTCCTTTCAACTTACTTTTGAGTAGTTATAAAGTATAAATTAATGAGGAGAGCTTGCTTCAGCCTGTATTTAGAAAGATGGGCTTAAACACATTAGCAAGACTCAGTATAGCACAGCTGGTATGTTTGCCTGACACTATTACTTTAGGGCAGGCAGGGCTGTCCAGCTTCTGAGTGGCCAGGGGTGCACCATAGCACTCCCAGGGGCAAGGGCAGGAAGTGAAAGCTGGAGAGAGGGGGAGAGCCTGGAGATACTAGTGGCAGCAGCCGCACAAGTGAGAGGAGAGAGCATCACCTGGGCAAGAGCCTGTGGGCTGTGAGTAAACCTTTTGGCCTTCAGGCTGCTACTTGAACAGCCCTACTTTAAGAGATGCCAACAGTTTTGAAAAGTACATAAGCCTGCAATGGTAAATTTATTATTCCTGGTGGCAACTCCAGGCAGACTGCCTCCTCAGCCAGCCTGTATAACTGTTAACACTGACAAGACAATCCATTTGGCGACGGGCTAACTGGCAATGTTGCTCAGTAGTGCCAATTATCACATCTCAAGCTCCATGTAGAAATGAGCTGCATTGTTTCTGGTTTAGGAGGCAGCCTACCCACAGCATCGGAGAATGTTTGAGGCTGCCTGCGTTAGGGACTACTACATTCATTTTTTAGACCAGTGAATCTCAGCCAGGGTGCCACAGCAGGGTACCTTCAGCAGGGTACCTTCAGACCCTTTCAAGGGCACTGTGGGGTGCCATGCAATGTTATCATTTCAAACATTGTTTAGAAGATAAGCTGAGAGATTTCAAGTAGATTTCCATAATGTTAAAAACATTCTGACCTGTTGTGGTCTTTCTGAGTTCTCTGCAACAGAAAAATTGCTCTATTATTTTTCTATAGTAAAAAAAAACCTAGTGAAAATTAGGAACTGGCATTTTCCAAGGGGTGCCCTGAGCATAGCAAGAGGTGCCTTGAGCCTAAAAAGGTTGAGAACCACTGATATAGACAGCCATAAACTCCCAAATCACTTAGTACATGTAAAAAATCTACTTTCATGAATGTTCCTATTTAAAAAATAAATAGTTCAGTTCATATGTTGATTAAATAAAATTTTGTTTTTATCTAAGAAATCAATTGTATTGGTTTTGGTATTAACTTCTCCTTTTAACCATCTAGTGTATGTTTAAACAGATGAGCCTTTCTTGTCTAGCAGATCCTACACATTTTCAGAAATATTCAAAAGTGTTTAAGTGAACTTTGTGCAAACAGCGTGAAAATAAGAATAGGGGAAACAAACCTGGATTTCTCCTAAAGTGATCTGGGATATAACATCCCTGAATACTGACATGTTTTTAGGGGTGGACTGTAGGTGAGATACTCCCAACACAAAAGAATTTCTGCCAGAAACAGAATAAACATTAGCAATAACTGGAAAGGCAGCTGATTAGGAAGTGCTCTGCTTGAGTAACAAGAACTATGAGGAAGTGTTAATATCCAAGTAACCTGTCTTCAAGTATTTAAAGGGTTTTTTAATACTAAATAGCTTATAATGGTCAGAAAAACACAGCAATAGAAAAATGGGGGGGGTTATAATTAATAAAAGATGAAGTTAATATATGCCCTTGGAATACAAGAATATTAAACAATCAAATATGTAATTACCCTGTTTTTTTATTACATTCAGCTACAGAAAATCATTGGAAAGCATGACGACTTCAAAACAGCTGCTGGAGATGAAGCAGTATTGCAGGTATAGCTGTAGACATAAATAAATATCTTTTCTTTCTTCTTGCTGTGAACACTTCTATGAATTCTATTTGTTATGTTTTACCAAACTCATAGATGAGTGTCAAGTCATATGTGTCAGTTGTAATACTTTAAATGAAAGTGCAGGGTTTGTCAACTCTGCTTTTTAATTTGGGGAAGAAAAATGTTTCTATAAATGTTTTTCAATTTAACTTCTGAATACTTTATAAAATATAGTAGTCACTATGCTTTATTACTATGTAGGGATTTCAGTTTATAAAGCCTAAGCCTATATTTAAAAGCAATATTTTTAAATCAGTGAAAAAAAATGCATTGTTGCGTAGGGGGAGAGGCTATTGATGAAGCAGGCAAGTAGCAAGCCACAGAACACCTTTCAAATTAGAATCAGTGCCTTAAACTTACCGAAGAACCAGTCAGTGGTCAGTGCAGTTCATATTCTATATATCAGGTCTGTTTCCTGAGTCAGTTTACAGTGTAATTCTCCTCTTGAAGTGACAAAGGCATAGATTACTTTACATGAGCAGAGAGTGGTAGTTAGCAGTATTGGCTTGAAGTCAGGCAGAAGGCAAGGTAGACTTGCATTTTAGGGCACTTTTACTTGTGCTTCAGGGATATTGGTGGGGGAGGGGTACTTTAATTAGAGTGTCTCCGAGAGCCGCTCTAATTAAAGCACCATAACGTTTCATGGATCAGCATCCCCACACTTCAAAATGGTGGTGGGGGTGCTTATTTTGGCATTTGATTTTGGATTTTTTTTTTAATCATAGAAAATCAGAGTTCCCACTGCCCCCTTCGCTCATCAGGATGCATGTCCAGCTGTGGCTGTTCCTGCCTCCACCCCCACAGCTGCCTTGTGCGCTGAGCAGCCCTGATACGGTGGTGCCATGCCATTGCCCCTCACTCCCAACCCAGAGCCCCCCCAGCCCTGCCAGTGCCCCTCACTCCCCTCCCACAGCCTCCTGTCCCTGCCAGTGCCCCTCACTCCCGACCCATAGCCCCCCATCCATGCCAGTGCCCCTTACTCCCAAACTGCAGCCCACCCCCCAGCCCTACTCATGCCCCTCACTTGCGACCCATAGCCCCCTGCCCCTCCAGCCCTACCAGAGGGGAACCCCAGCTACCAGTGCTATGGGACCAGAGCCAGGGTATGCCAGCTGGAGCAGAGCCCATGTGGGGGAAGGATGTGGGCTGTCCACTCCCCACATTGCTACCCTCCCTCGGGGGTCTCCATGGCCCAGTGGGCAGGACCCAGTGCAGGAGAGCACAGCAGGCCAGGGAGGCTTGGTGCCACTGTATCCACCCCCACCCCATACACACATCGGGGGGGGCTCATGTCCCCCTCCCCAGGAGTGCGTGCAACAATGGGGAGCCAGCCCCTCTATCACCCCCTAGATGAGCCACCCACAGTTCCTTCCTGCTCCCTGGCTGTGCGCTGCAGCCACACATTCCTGCCCCAGCCCTGGGCCTCACACACCGCCCTGGCTGGGCAGTGCCTCCAGTCCCAGCCCTATTGTGGGGGCTTCAGTTCGCCCTTCCCTCACACCCCTAGGTTTACGTACAGGGAGCTGCTCCACACTGCCTCGCCGCCACATGCATATGTGCATGTGCACATGGCACCCCCGGCCTGATCACCCTATTCCCACTCCCCCCAGCCCCAAGCAGCCCCTTGGAACCTGAAACTGCCAGCCTGCAAGGGGGACCCACTGTTTTCCACATTTTTCCCCTTTAAAAGAGAGAATCTGTGATTTTTTTTCCATGGCAAATGAAAAACCCGGATCCCTGGCTGTCACTAAATAACAGGAATATACAACATCTTAATCTTTAAATGGAGTTGTACTTTAAATGGAGTCCTACGATAGGCCTACTCACAGGTATTTTCCACAGAAGTCCTTTAGGCTCTTGTGTTAAGCATATGTTCATAGTCAATACCCCTTTTTCTTGTAAAAGTTCTTTTTGCCAGCTTAGGTTTGGGAAAGAGATGATGACTTTATGTTATTTAGTCATGTCTTCATCACTTCTCAGCTGGTCTACAGAGTGACCACAAAACGTTTTGGCACTTAGAAAAATTCAGCTAGTACACAACACTGTAGTATATCTCCCCAGCAGCACAAATTATCATGGACACATCAAACCTGTGCTCTGTTTCCTGCGTTGGCTTCCCAAAAATCACTAGTCAAATTAATGAAGTGGCAGATGGCAGGTAAATAAGATATGATGGCATAGGCAAAACAGAATCTGTTTGGATGAAAACCATGTTAGGAAGGAATAATAAAAAAAGACCTAGAGCAGCAGTTCCCAAACTGTGGTATGTGTACCACCAGTGGTACGCAGACAACCTGTGAGTAGTATGTGGAAGGCCAGGGGGAGGGGAGGGGAGGGGTGGGGCGTGCACGTGCACACAGACACCCAGCCCAGCCTGCTGCAGGCAGCCAGGAACGCAGCCCAGCCACGTGTGCAGCAGTGCCCAGCAGGTAAGTGTGTTGAAGGGAAGGGCCATGGGGCAAAAAAGAAGGCCGGGGGGGGGGATTGAGGTCCCCACAGTGAGGAAGGGAGTGGGGCAGAGGCAGGGACAGGTGTAGGGGTGAATGGGGAACGGTGGGAGCCCTGGGGGGCTTGTCCAGTGGCATGGGGGTGGATCCTGCCACTGTGCAAACCCCCTCTCATCACAACATGCTTAACAGAAAGGAATACACAAGAACACAGGTAGTATATGAAGTTTTATTTATTGTCACCAGGTTTAGAATTTGTAGAAAACCTGGTATTTACTGGAAAAAACCCCCAAAAAAGCCACATTTATCATTATTAACTACTAGCAAATTGCCCATTGAGACTGATGGTGGAGGGGATTGGGGGCGGGGACAGAGACCTGCGTCCCTTTCCCTGGATTGCTCCCTGTCTTCCCCCTGCTGCTTCTGGCGCAGCCACCAGTAACCCCCCACCCCTTCCTGCTCCCCTCCCTCCCCTTTCCCTGCCGCCTCCCCTCCCTACTGGCTGTTGTTGGGGTGGGAGGGGGAGTGGCGCCAGCCCCTGGCTTCAAGGAGCAGAGCCCCTGCTGTGTCCCCTCCATTATGGCAGCACTCTGGTTCCTGTTGTCCCCCTCTGCCTCCAAAGAGCAGGGGATGGGGGCGAGGCCAGCTCTACAGCTCTCAGTCCCCACTGTAATGGCATCACTCTGCTGTCTGTCCCTGTCTGTGTAGGGCACTCTAGCTGCCGAGACAGCCTATCAGAGCATGATAATACATTACAGATGGACAGACTTAGGCTTTTTTAATATTAGAATATTAATATGCAGCGCGTCCTGACATGCACCCCCTGCCCCAGTTTTGTTTATCTAGTGTGCTGGCACTCTGGCACCTTACAAGGTACACCTTGTGGGTTTTTTGCTTCTCCAGCCAAAAATGTTGCCTACCCCTTATTTATGCTGTCTTTTTTCCAATTTACAATTGTTTTACGTGGCTACCATAACTGATAAAATAATGTTTTATGTTTACTAAAGGTTTTGATGTTATTTTAATACATAGTCTGTTACCTATGTGTATGAAAAAAATTGCAGGTGGTACTTAAGGCTGTAACATTTTAAATTGGTGGTACTCAGTCTGTCAGAGTTTGCAAACTGCTGACCTAGATGCTGGTTTAGGAGTTTACTACAGGCCCCCTTCCCTCCCCTCAGCTCAGTTCAGACTTGTAAATGGATAGGGCTGTCTACAAGGTCTTAAGAGATTTCATTAATCATGGAAGTTTTTTAATTATGGGACACTTCAGTTTCCCTAACTTAGATTTGGGTAGTGAACACTACACATAATAGTAGGTATAGATATTTTTGGACAAGTGACCAATTGATTTCTTTATCAAGTGGTATCTGGTGATGAGAGGGAAAGCTAGCCTAGATTTAGTTTTTTGCTAGTAGCAAAGATCTTGTAGAAGAACTAGTTGTGGGAAATAAACTGGAGTCAAGCAATTATCAATTGACTTGGTTTAGATTAAATTGCAGGGGAGACAAGAGCAGGATCTTGGAAGATCTTGAACTTCAGAAGGGCTAATTTTGGGAAATTAAGAAATTAGTTGAGGTTGACTAGATTTCAGCACTAAGAGACATGGGTGTGTAATTGATGCAGTATTATTTTAAGGCAAAAAAAAATTTGGGGGAGCTTACATCTGAGGCAAAAGGAAAAAAAAATCGGCATGAAAGGACTACAGACCTACATAGATCAGGGGTTTTCAACCTTTTTTTAATAAGTGTACCCCAGCAGCCAGACATGGAGTGGGGTGGTAGGGGGTGAAAAGTGGCTGGACATGGAGTGACGGCAGTGCAGGGTGGTAGATGGCGGCCACCATCGCATGCAAGCTTCGCTTCCCCCTACCGCATCTGGCCAGCCAGACGGCACCTGTGTGGCCCGCAGAGGGGCACCACTGCCCTCATCCCTGCCCTCCAGCCCCAGTCCCGGGAGGAGGTAGCATGGGGTGGTAGGTGGCAGCGCTCCTTCTCCACCCGCCCATGTGTATCCCCTAGGGCCTTCAAGCATACCCCCGGTTGACAACCCCCGGCATAGAAAAACAAACACCTCATATAGGCCATTAAGAATAAGCGGTGTACTTTGAAGAAATAAAAATGGGAGGAAGAAGGAATACCTGCCCATGTCTAGGAATGCAAAAATAAAGTGACAATGGCCAAAGGCTTATTTGAGCTTGACTTTGCAAGAGCCATTAAAGTTTATAGCAGGATTGGGCATGTAAATAAAAAGAGAACCAGGAGGAAAGAAGTGAGCAACTATATGCTGAAGGAAGGAATGGAGATGAAGGACATTGTGCAAGATCTAAACAAATGCTTTGCCTCAGTCTTCAGTAAGGATTAAGGTGTAACTGAAGATATTGGCAGGCTGCCATATGAGAGTGAGAATTCATATCTGAAAATTTCTACATCAGAGGAAGAAGCAAAAAATAACAAATACAGTTTGGATACCCAAAAGACTGCCTGAAGAACTG